GTTCTTTAGTTTGTTTTCGGTTTGTGACGGATGTTGGCATTAGCTTTAAACACTGACTATGTGTATTGTATCTGAGTGGAGGCCCACCTGCAGACTGGTGACGGTGAAGTTGGCTATAAGACGAATCACTTCGGGGTAGTTCTCTACTTTCACCAGCTCTCCCAATTGATAGTTACTCTTCAGCCTCGCCAGCAGACGGCAGAATTCGTGGTAGTTGTTGGGATCCGGTAAACACTGAAATGTAAAACGTTTTCACCACGTCAGACATCAAAGCTGCTGTCAGGAGAAATAAAACAGGAGCTGTGAATGTAGTCCAGACCTGAGGGTTTGCTAGGATCCTCTTCACTCCGTCAACCAGGTGAGACAGGAACTTAGCTCGCTCTGCGTTGTTGAAGAGAGACCTCCGGACAGAGGCTATCTGGACTAGACAGGACAACACCTACACACACACACACACAGACACACACACACACACACACACAGAGAGAAAGAGAGAGAGACACACGCGCACAATGTTAAACATTTTAAACACACACCACATGCACACACCACATACACCTATTAACCTCTACCAGGAGGCTTCATGTGGATGAATCGTCTTTACATAACTCACCAGTGGGGAGAGAGACGGAGGGATGGAATGATATAAGTTGAAAAAGAGCTGCAGAGTCGAGGAATCCAGAAAAGCTTCGAGACGGAAAGAAAACAGAAGAAAAAGTCACGAGTTTCACCGCCACAGTGCTACAAAACTAACATCACTTTAATTAATGATGAAAAATGTCCTCTCTAAAGCGTGATAACATGTTTTTAACATCATATCCAGAGACGATGTCAATAAATATGAGTAAAATAACGACTCTTATCTCACAGGAAACAGACAAACGATCAATCTACTGATCCATTAATGGTTTTAGTCAAAGTAATCCACAAGTTTTATATTTAATGTAGTCAAAAAAGAACTAATGGTCATGAAGAGCCTGAAACATGTTTCTAAAATGTCGAATAACCATGTTAGCAGCTGACCTCAAGACTGGTATTATTATTATTAAAATATTTCATAAACACGTAATAATAAAGCTACCTGATCTCCATGACGTGGGGATCTGAACGGTGCACAGGTCGTCAGACGACTCGTCGGTGGACGTCCCGATGAAGTCGTAGTTGAGGCAGTTGTAGCTCAGTTTGAGGAGCTGCATCAGGAGGCCGTGCTGAGACTCATCGTTCAGGTTCAGGTTCTTACCTGAAGCCTGAACAAAGAACACACTTCAGTTCTCATCTGTGATCTGGTTCAGATCCACAAGATGGTTTCTCATCGATTAAGTTCAGTTACATGTTCTCCACCAAAGCAGTTAATTTTATTCCTCATCGGAGAATTAAACTGAGAATTCATCCACAGATTGTTACAGCAGGTCGACAATCTAATTCTTAAAAAGGTCTTCTGAATCATAAAAGTGAGCTTTTTTCTGCAAGATGAAATATATATAATAATAATATAATGAATATATATAAATAAATATGTATATAAATATACTAGTGCTGGGCAACGACTAAAATTTTTTAATTGCATGATTTTTCTGCAATTAATCTCATTGTTATGGCAAAATTCAATAATGAATTTAAAAGTAGTGTATTGTGCACTTTTATATAAAAGTACTGCTATATGAACAAAAGGGCAATAACATTTGGTTTGTAAACACTTTAAACACATCAGGTTCTTGTTAACAGCAGTATTCTCTTTACACAGTAGCAGTTATAATATTTCTTGTATATTATATATATATTTTATTAAATCAACACAACAGAAAAAGCAATGTGTGTTGAAATAGTATTCTATAAATAATTTAAGCCTCTATAATTGAATGGAAACTCCTCCCCAGATTGGACGTGTTGTGGAAGTCCAGATATCAGGAAACTAAACGCGTCTTGTCTGGTTCATAACAGTCCAGAGGAGCTCCGTGGCTCTCATGGAGCTGTGTTCACTGCGTCTAGTGAGACACACGCCGCTGTTCACTACAGCTGTATGAACGCTAAACTAACTGATTCTGTTGTGATTTTAAACAGACAAAAAGGGGATTCCGAAATAACTACGTAATGATGCCGTTTTGTAAAAAGTCTGAATTCATGTTTAGTTAGTTCTCTCCACAAGACGACAAGAAAATAACTTTTAAAATACTTGTTTTCTCAACGGAGTCTGGATCGATTGGTGCTATGCTATGCTAACATTGTAGCATCTCCATCAACACTCAACATAACGTCATCTAGGCGTAAATAGGGCAGCGTCTATTCATTGTTTGTACCATATGGTTTACACACATGCATGTATACACATAGTTTGGTCTCCACTAATATGAGGTATAGAGCTCTGGTGAACACAGACGGATACAGAGTTAGTTTCCTGATTCAACGTCAGTGATGACAGGAGGAGCATCTCAACACTGATAGGCTATCGCACCGCAGCGCCCGCCCCAAATGCTCTCATTGGTTGAGACGCGTGATGACGCCCATCCCAAGCCAATCCTGATCAACATCCCGCCCCTCCTGTGACCCATGGTCTGTCTGTCTGTCTGTGTGTGTATTCAGAGCCAGAGAGCAACGGACTTTCAAAATAATAATAATTTTTTTAAAAACTGCGTTAACGCGCAATAAAATAATTGTCGGCGTTAATTAATTAATGCGTTAACGTGATAATAATGCATTAACTTGCCCAGCACTAATATATATATATATAAATTAATTAATATAAATAAATAAAAATATAATATAAAATAAACAGACTAACCTGTTTGAGGAGGTTGCAGGAAAGCGTGAAAATGTCGAAAAGTGATGAATCTCTGAATGAAGAAGCAATCTTCCTGTGTTTGGTCAGAGGATGTGTCGTATCGGCCTGAAGACAAACACAATGTTACACACACACACAGAGACAGAGAGAGAGACAGAGAGAGAGACAGAGAGAGAGACAGAGAGAGAGACAGAGAGAGAGAGACAGAGAGAGAGACAGAGAGAGACAGAGAGAGAGAGAGAGAGAGAGACAGAGAGAGAGACAGACAGAGACAGACAGAGAGAAAGACCGAGACAGACAGAGAGAAAGACCGAGACAGACAGAGAGAAAGACCGAGACAGACAGAGAGAAAGACCGAGACAGACCGAGACAGAGACCGAGACAGACCGAGAGAAAGACCGAGACAGACCGAGAAAGACCGAGAGAAAGACCGAGAGAAAGACCGAGACAGACCGAGAGAAAGACCGAGACAGACCGAGAGAAAGACCGAGACAGACAGAGAGAGACCGAGACAGACAGAGAGAGACCGAGACAGACAGAGAGAGACAGAGAGAGACAGACTACCTAGAATCTGAGAGAGAATCTGAATTGTAAGTCTCTTTGGATAAAAGCGTCTGCTAAATGACTGTAATGTACCTGATTGATCTCATTGGTCAGCTGGGACAGGATGGTGACTCCTATGATGCAATGTTCAACGCTGTCCTGTAAACACAGCAGTTACACGCACACACACCGTTAAACACATGATATCATATACACCCCCCCACACACACACACACACACACATACACACCTGTAGAAAGCGTGTGACGTCAGCAATGACGTTCCTGAAGACATAGTCGTCTTTCTGACAGTCGAACCAGCCCAGCTTAGTGATCCGGGCGTAGAGCTGGATCAGTGCCTGAGTCACAAAGGCTGCTAACTTTGGCCGCGTGGCCAAATAATTCAGAACATAGTTCCCTGAACGTCACAAACAAACGACAACAGCTTCATGAAAGAGGAACAACACACCCGAAAGACTTCATTAAACTAGAGAGAAATTAGATTTAGAGACAAAACAACGGAGAGAACAAACATCTTCATCTGAAGTTTGACTTTCTGTTTGTATATCAGTATTATATGAGACATGAAAGATATAAATCTGTAGAAATAATCACATAAGATGTGATGAACAGTGAGATGATGAAGAAAATAAATGATTTTAGTCTGCAGTGGCTCGTGGAATTTATGATATATTTCCATACATATTAAAACCCTTTTAAATATCATTAAATATAATACCTTTAAATATCCAGCAGTAAGGTTTCTATTTATAATAAATAAACCTTGATATTTAAGGTCATGTTTAGTTTTTGTGTTTGTTATTTATTTATCTTTTAAAAAAGGTTTAGTTGGAGAGACGAGTCGATAAAAGACGTAAGAACGTCTGAGAAGAAAGCAAAGCAGTCAGAAATAATGAAGACGTCTGAACCACCACAGAAGAAGATGAGGAGGACATGAAGTGACACAGCTCTATATTAAAAATGCTGATGAGATTCACGTTCACTAAAAGAGTCAGAGGAGAAGACTTTATGATGAAATAAACCTGAATCATTGAGTCTTATTCTATTAACAGAATGAATATTTACTGCGTTTCCTTTTACAGTCACACATCAAACAGAAGATCAAACTCGGACGTTAAAAAGATTCTCCTGAGGAGTCGTCAGCGTTAAAGAGAAGAAGCTGAACTGTATTTAACTCACGGATGTCGATGCGTTGCTCGAGGGGCAGAGGGTTACTGGTTCGAGAAACCAGTTTAGACAAACAGGTGGCGGCGAGCAGCTGAGAATATGACGACTGTAACAAGAGAATACAAACATGAACTTTATAATTTTTCATCATCAATAAAAGTCCTTCACAGTTTGTGGTGTTTGAGATGAACCCTGTTTGTCTCCATCAGAGCTTCCTGTTAACGTTACTAAACGTTAATTAACGCTGGTAAACTTTAAACGCTAGTAAACGCTGGTAAACTTTAAACGCTAGTAAACTTTAGTAAACGTCACTAAACTTGACTTAACGTTTGTAAACGTCACTAAACTTGACTTAACGTTTGTAAACGTCACTAAACTTTACTTAACGTTTGTAAACGTCACTAAACTTTACTTAACGTTTGTAAACGTCACTAAACTTTACTTAACATTTGTAAACGTCACTAAACTTTACTTAACATTTGTAAACGTTACTAAACTTAAATAAACGTTAGTAAACTTTACCTTTTAAACCCTAGCCCTATTTTTAGGCCTCTGCTCGAAAATAACACCCATACTAAAAAGACTAATTCCATAACTACAAGGTCTATTTTAATAATTGTGATGTTATCATACAGATAACACTTGTGAGATTTGTTCATATCTGTAAATATTGTGTATATGTTACTGGTTAATAGTAAATGAAGATGGAACACAGCTCAAATTGAACATTTTCAGGTTCGCATGAAAAAAAACAAACACTTTTATTGGCATTATGTCTTGAAATACAGCAATTTCGCATCATTTTGAGAGCCTGAGGCCTCTAAACCCTGTCTTTGTCTGTGAACCACGGATCAATTCTCATATGCCTGCATATGTGGGGCCTTACACAGGCGACTGTGGGTCCTTTCCTTGCGCCTTAGTCCCTCCCACCAGGGATGCATGGAGGAAACCATGCGAGGAGAGAGGAAACGAGGAAATATGTTTTAGGAGACATGAGACGTCCTTTCCTCAGTTGCGTCACGTGAAGCGACGTCTGTTTCTGATGACGGTGGATCAGCTGTCAGTCGGCTTTAACAGCTGGAGAGACTTTTGAGAAGTTTGTGTCTGTTCACATGATCACTGTACTTAATAACAGTAACTAATAAAGACACACAGTAATCACCACTGTAGAGGTGTTTCTCTCTGTAGTCTGTTAACAAGCTGTGTCCTGTGTTCTGTTTATAAGCACAGGATCCATTTCTACCGGCGGAATGCGATCGTCTTATTTATGAATTATTTGCGCCTGTACGTTTTGAAATTCAGATTGTGGCGTCATTATTAAATAACCCAGAATATGATTATTGTTTCTCTTAAATGATAAAACTCATCAAACCCGACAATCAGGAATGATTGATAGATAGATAGATAGATAGATAGATAGATAGATAGATAGATAGATAGATAGATAGATAGATAGATAGATAGATAGATAGATAGAGTTTCGTCTCTCCAGCTCTCTGACTTTAATTGTTTCCATAATAAAAGTTATTGAGGGAAACATCAGATCATGAAAACACAAATCTTTCTAATAAATGAAGAAAGTTGTTTGTGGTCCTTTTGTTGTTCAGTCTACAATGAACATTTATTTAAACCAGATGTTGAATCAGAAACCTAATCAAATATAAACTAGAGTTTAATCTGTGATCCGTCTTCACTGTTTACATGTTGAACAAAATCTCATCAGTCCGATCGGCTGCAGCGTCCAATCACATGACTGATGAACAATGAGGGGGCGTGCGTGTCGGCCGTTAAAACACTTCCTGGAAGTCTGTTCTCGTGGGTCCTCGCTCATGGCTCCTCAGAGATCCCTCCTCGCTCCTCAGAGCAGAAATAAGAACTTTGGGACGGCCGTCAATATGGCGGCGCAGAACAACTTCTGGTTCGAGCGAGGATTGAGGAGCGAGGAAATGACAAATAAGAGACTTGGGATGTACCCTACGACACCTTGTTCGACGCGTCAGAGTCTCAGGAATACAGTGGTGGTAACGTGGGCTTGATTGACAGAATCGTTAGCCGGAAAAAAACAGAAACGCGCCGTGCGTCGCCCTGTGTAAAATAGGGCTGCACAATTAATCGAATTTTAATCGCGATCACGATTTTGGCTGCCACAATTAAATGAGCATGATCGTCAGCGATATTGACGTTTAAAATGCATGCTCTGCTACATATCAAATCAAGCGCGTCCTCAACTAACAGTCAGCCAACCACCAGGGGGCGAACGAGACGGGAGGCGTCAAGCGCGCACCCTGCAGCGGCAGCCTCAAAAAAAGTTCTGTCTGCAGTCGACTCCGGTATTAGTAGAAGAGTAGCGAGACAGACAACAGAACAGAGAGCAGATGGTCATTTATATTTTGCTTCAGGTGAATAAGAACCGTATAAGTTTTATTTTGATGCAGAGACGTACATTAGCTGGAATGTAGCACAACATGGAAGTGAAAGCAGTGCTCTGTTGATTTAATTTTGGGTAAAAAGTGTTGATACTATTTTATTAGTTATTAGTCTACATGTGCTTTGTGGACTTGGAGAAGGCTTTCGAGAGGGTCCCTCGGGAGAACGTCAGGTTCGGGGGTCTCGGGATCGCCTCTCTGCTGTTTGCAGATGATGTGGTCCCGTTAGCCTCCTCGGATCGTGACCTCCAGCATTCACTGGGGCGGTTTGCAGCCGAGTGTGAAGCGGCGGGGATGAGAGTTAGGAGTGCCTACCTCAAGCGAAGGAGTTTAAGTATCTCGGGGTCTTGTTCACGAGTGAGGGTAAGATGGAGCGGAGATCGACAGGCAGATCGGTGCGGCTGCAGCAGTAAAGCAGGCGCTGCACCGGACCGTCTTGGTAAAGAGGGAGCTGAGCCGGAAGGCAAAGCTCTCGATTTACCACTCGGTCTACGTTCCTACCCTCACCTATGGTCACGAACTCTGGGTCGTGACCGAAAGGACAAGGTCGCGGCTACAAGCGGCCGAAATGAGCTTCCTCCGTAGGGTGGCCGGGCTCAGCCTTAGAGATAGGGTAAGGAGCTCGGTCATCAGGAGGGAGCTTGGAGTCGAGCCGCTACTCCTTCGCGTCGAAAGGAGTCAGCTGAGGTGGTTCGGGCATCTAATTAGGATGCCTCATGGACGCCTCCCACTGGAGGTTTTCCAGGCACGTCCAACTGGGAAGAGACCCCGGGGAAGACCCAGAACACGCTGGAGAGATTACATCTCCCAGCTGGCCTGGGAACGCCTCGGGATCCCCCAGAATGAGCTGGAACATGTTGCCGGTGAGAGGGAGGTCTGGGTCAGCCTGCTTGGCCTGTTGCCACCGCGAGCCGACCCCAGATAAGCGGTGGAAAATGGATGGATGGATGGATGGACCATTTTATTAATATTTTCCTTCTACGAGATGCACTGTGATAAGGACCAGTCTGATGCAAAGATTTGTACATTAGCCAGAATGTAGCACAACAATGGAAGTGGAAGCAGTGTCCTTGTTCATTTAAACGTGAACGTGCAATAAAAAGATGTCCCTAAAATTAATGAATAATCGTGATAAATAATTGTGATCTCAATATTGATCAAAATAATCGCGATTATGATTTTGGCCATAATCGTGCTGCCCTAGCGTAAAAACTGATTGGCCGAAAGTGAATTCCCTTCCCCCACTGTCCCCCAGGCTTGTCTGACCCCCCTTTCACCAGGAAACAGTTGAAAAAAAACACAGGAAATACGTAGCAACAGTGTTTCTAGCCGGCAAAACGGAATATGAATCCTTTTTCTTCATGATTCGTCTCAAGGTATGAAGCATTTATGGTTTCTTCTGCGGTGGAGCGGCTTGGTTTTGTGGTGCTTGTTGACTGTATATTTGTAATGGTTTCACGGAGAGAAATTTGGAAGATATCTCTGGATTTTGTGTTGAATGCTCGTGCTTTTTGCTATCTCGGTTGCCCGTGGTAGCGGTGATATTATTTTAATCGTTGCCCAGCACGAGTTTTAATAAACATTACCAAACTTTAACAAATGTTGGCAAACTTTAACAAACGTTGGTAAACTTTAGTAAAGCAGACAGACTGCTGCTCCTCTATGAATGTAAACAGAGGAGCACTCCAATGAGTTTTACACAATCACTGTAACCCCGATGATATCACAGTGATGTCACCAGGATCATCTCAGTCTGGACTTTAAGGTGACCGATGTCTCTCACACACACACACACACACACATCTACTAACAGGTATAAACTGAAGGTGTGGAGTTAGAGAGACAAGGCTAAGGGGAGTTGCCTCTGTTCTGTTCTTTAATGTAACATTACTGGAGCGACAGAGCCTCTCCCAGCTGTTAACAGACTGCTGTGCTAGCGGGCTAACTAGCGAGTTGTACCCAGCATGCAGTTCAGCGGTGAAATTTTATAAATGTACAATTATTAGTGTTACAAATTGTTTGTGTCACAAACTGTTGCGTCGTGGTGTTTTGTTGTTAAAGAGCGTTAGTTGTGGGTTGTTAATTGTTGTTATAAAGTTATAACCATGACTAGAGGTCCCTCTCAACACACATAAGACAACTAGCTCCGACCGCAGCGCTCTCAGCGGCGAACAATATATTTTGCTGCCTGTTGAAGAGCGACAGAAGTTGTTTCGGCTGTGAACCGGTATGACGGTATATGAAAAATTCATATCATACGGGAAATTAAAACCGGTATACCGCCCAGCCCTACTTCAACAGAAGTAGTAACAGTACTCACACTGCCTCTCTAGTATCAGTACTTGAACAGAAGTAGTAACAGTACTCACACTGCCTCTCTAGTATCAGTACTTGAACAGAAGTAGTAACAGTACTCACACTGCCTCTCTCCAGCAGCAGCTGACACTTGCTGAGACAGTCGGGGCTGTTGGTGAACTCCACCAGAGCTTTCTCTGCCTGGTGTCTGACGGCGGTGTCGGTGGTCTCATACAGCTGCTTACACAAGATCTCCAGCTGGGCGAGGCCCTGGAACACACGGGGGGTACACAGGTATGAACCCCAAGGTGCTGATGGTAGAGATGCACCGACGATCAATACGGACGTTTCACATTTTAGTTTTTAAATATCACATTATGTCTGTAAACGGCAGCACAGACGGTAACAAGAGACGCACAAAACACACACACAAAATTCACTTTAAATGTACAAGTTTCAGCTGAATTTATGCGTAGATTAAAAATGTGCATAAAAACAAGTGGATGGAAAGAAACTGTTATTGCTGATGTTTAAATTATTTTTAAGACAAAAATAAGTTTACAGATTATTGTCCGGTCCTTTGACTCATTATTTTTGAAGTAAACATCTTTGTGTTTTAGTATTTTTGTGGGACAAAGAAGTGATATGAACTTAATTTCTCTATTTTGTGATATTTTATGAACTAAACAATTAACAAAATGAAGCAAACAATCCTAAAACCGAAGCTACAGCTCTTATTTGAACTACATTCAGGTGAACCTGTGTGTTTAGATTGTTGGATGATAAATATTTATTATTTTGGAGCAGATAGTGAGGCGTTTAACGACATCCAGCTCAGATCACAAGGCGGGAAAAGTGCTGAGTCATATAGAGTCGCAGTGAGATCACTGATACATTCAAAATGGTGGAGGGGACCAGGTTCAAGAGAGAGATTAGAGGTGGAGGTCTGGATTTGGAGGGTGGGGGGGGTCTTCACTGCTTACATGAGTGTGGGGAGTTTAAGCTACAGTGTGTGAGCAGGTACGAGTGTTACAGAGACTCTGCTGGACTCAGATAAGAACCAGTCTGAACATGAGGTTTAAATGTCTTCAGAGGACGCACGAGACGAGACGGCGGGGTTTAAATGTCTTCACAGGAAGCACGAGACGGCGGGGTTTAAATGTCTTCACAGGAAGCACGAGACGGCGGGGTTTAAATGTCTTCACAGGAAGCACGAGACGAGACGGCGGGGTTTAATTGTCTTCACAGGAAGTAAGAGACGAGACGGCGGGGTTTAAATGTCTTCGCAGGAAGTGAGAGACGAGACAGTGGGGTTTAAATGTCTTCACTGGAAGTAAGAGACTAGACAGTGGGGTTTAAATGTCTTCACTGGAAGTAAGAGACGAGACAGTGGGGTTTAAATGTCTTCACAGGAAGTACGAGACGCTGAAGAAGACAAGAAAGGTATCGTTCAAAAGAGTACGATGTTATTAGCACCGGTCCAAAACTAAATTGAGGGTTTCCAGGCTAAGCTAACGCTAACCACAAAGATGGAGTCAACAAAGAGAACAGAAGACAGATCTGATCATGTTTGTATCAGCAGAACACAAGGAAAACAACACGCCTCTAATTAAGGACCAAATAAACAGATATAAATTGATTCACCCATCTTTTCTGAATGTGTCCGATCATCTCCTGTAACTCTGTAAACACGTAGTCCTTGACATCACATCAGTTCTGTTATGTACGAACGGAACCTGAAGGCATCACGGAGCTTCACCCCATCAACTTTTTGATGTTTTAAGTAATGTGTGCAACTCTATAATATATATATATATATATATATATATATATATATATATATAAATAATTGGGTTTTATTTTGGCAACTTTTCTTTTACAATCATCTTAAAAACATACAATGAAATCGACCTTATTGAAGAACATAATCTATAATCAGATCACGATTCTTTATTTAAAATTCATGACGATGGTTCTGGATCGGATCTGAGACTCAATAGCAAAGATGCTGCAGCTCTCTGCCTCAGAGCCTGGAGGCTCCAGATCAGGGTCTGATCAACACATCCTAACATCTGCTTTCCAGTCAGAATAAAGTCTCTACTCATCATAATAATCATTCAAAGCAAATGAACAACATGCTGCATGAAGTTAGCTTCACACAAACGTTATGAGGACAAACATCTGGAGAAGAAGAGGGACAGATTCAAACCATCAAACCTTCTGCTCTCCTTGTCTCCTCTCTCATCTCCCATCTCCTTGACTCCTCTCTCATGTCCTCCCTCCTCCTTGTCTCATCTCCTCTCCTCCCCTCTCATTGTCTCCTCTCTTCCCCTCTCTCATCTCATCTCCTCCCATCTCCTCCCCTTGTCTCCTCTCTTCCCCGAACATGTGTCCGGAACACGAAGCAGCAGCTAGCATCACATGCTAGCCCGTGATGCTAGCTTCACGAGCTAGCTTCACATGCTAGCTAAACAAAAACATCGCTGCTTAGTTACGCACATAAACAACGCGGTTGCTCGTTAAACAACGATGTTTTCCTCCGTTAATCGTCTCGGTCACGGTAACGTCAGTCACGCGGACACAGAGCCGGTCTTTACGGACAAACTGTTAAAAACAAAATGTGTTCAAACCAGCATCGAGCGGGAGAAGACGATGCTAACGTTAGCATAGCTATGCTAAGAGGCTCGGCTAGCTTTGTTAGCATAACAGATCAGCAAACACACATATTTAGGCTCAAATAATAATGATTTAAAGTGTGTAGTTTATGACACATGTTACGTCATATTGTGGTTCTCAGTGGTGCCAAACTGAACCAGCTCGTGCTAACCGGACAGCTAACAGACGAGCTAACAGAAGCTAGCCCTACACCGAGTGGTGACAGCGGGGCCACTTCGTCTCTTTTTACGGCGTCAGACCGCCCTGCGGCCCCCAGCGGCCTCACACAGGCCCCGAGCCCGCAACACGAGCACCAGAATCCCGCCTTCACGCTCCGTCTCGCGCCCGTTGATGCATTAGTCGGTTACAAAAACATGAACCCTCCGCTCACCTGCACATGATCCGCCATCTTTCTCCATTTCATGCTCCTCTCACTCCCCCGCTTATGGTATAAAGAGAGAGGAAACAGCGCCGCGTGTGGCGGCTCCGCGCTACTGCAGTTCAGCAGCATTTATTTCATGTTTTTATTGTAATTTTTCTATATTTTATAAATGTTCTTTCACTACTTTAACTTTTGTTTATTTCCTCTTAATGCGTTTTTTATTCACTAAACATATAACTTATAATAATACGTGAATAACTATAACAATAATTAATCAATCGGATTATTACAAACCAACCGATTTATTAACGTACAAACTTTAAAATGTGATGATGTAGTTCATGTTAAATTACACAAATATTATTAAGAATATATTAATACTTATATATTACTAATAATATATTAAAGTAGTGAATTATTTGTTTACAACTGTGATCAGTAAATGTTTAAAATAAGATCAATTCGATGTTTATCTGTCAAAGAGCTTAATTTGTTGTGGACAATAAATTAATAATGTAAATAAAGAATAACGTGTTAAACATAAATGAGATTATTATTGTGTATGAAATGTTTGAAACTCTGTTTTGTTTTTAATGAGATAAACTTTATATTTTTCTTTTCCTCTTTTAATTTAAAATCTTTTCATTCAAAGTAACAACAACAAAAAACAACAACTTTAAAATGTGTGAAATACTTTTAACAATAGAAATAAAACTGTAAAGAAGTGATTCTGTTATTAGCATAATTTTAATATTTCAGAATTAGAGGGCAAATAAGAAAATAGTGTAGTTGTGATGTGTTTGTTTATATATTCTCTCTCTCTCTCTATATATACTATATATATAACATATACTGTATATGTATTATATATATATATATATATATATACTGTATATAATATTGTTCAGCTGATTTTAAATTATAACTGAACTTTTATTTTTTTTAACTATGGCTGCAGGTTTTCTTTTAGTTTAATATTTTGTCAGTAAGAAAAAAAAAGTGTTTATGAACACTTGAATATTTATTAAATATACATTTGTAGTAAAAGTAGAAGGAAGAATAAACCACTTAGATTGCATTCATGATGTCATTTTGTTACAATTCCCTAATTACTTTAATTGATTGACATCTTAATTGTCGTGAGTTCTTTAGTGCTGATAAATGTTAATAATAATAAATAAATAAAGTTAATTGAATGAATGTCTTTGTGTCTGTATATTTCATGATGTCATGTTTCTCCAGACCACCAGGGGGCGATAGCTCCTCCTTCTGCAGTGTTTCCTGTTCCGGAAGTAGAGGAAAAGTGAAAGCAGTAGATTCTCATTCATCATGTTTGAATGGAAACACAAAGGTTTCTAATAAAAACATGCAGGTTTATTTCTGCTAACAGACCGTAATTTATTTATTCATTTTATTTATATATTTTTATTATTATTATTATATATTTTTTTTTATCGTATTTATCTTTAGTAATTTATCTTTAGTAAAGGTCATTAGGTACCCTATAAGAGTATTGAGACCCTAAACCAAGGTGATGGCTTGATCCTCATCCGTAAATAGTTGAGTCTCAAGGTTTGTTAGATATGTTAATGCAGAACGTGGGACTGGACGGTGAATTAGTAGGAGAATATGTGTTGGTGTTGGCTTTGATGGTGTTGCCATTCTCTCCCTAGGCTGGTCTTAAATGCGTTGACTGAGGAGGCACTAACTGTTCCTTGACTCAGGCTGTTCCATACTGGTGTTGTTCTACTTGAGAAAAAAGGTTTCCGTGGACCAGGCTGGTGTTGTATCTGTAGTTTCAGATCATGACCTCTTGTATTGGTGCTGAGGGATTTTTTGAACATACTATTGCCACATACTTCACAACTTCTGTCAGACTGTACGCTGTCAATTCCTGTCAGTATTTTAAAAGTTTGGACCATGTCGGCTCGTTTAGGTCGAAATTCCAGCGTTTGCAAGTTGAGGCTGGCGAGTCTTTCTGGGTATGAGAAATTTGAGAGGCCGTGCACTAGTCCAGTTGCGCGTCTCTGAACTTGTTCCAGGGCATCTTTGTCCCGCTTGAGTTTGGGTGACCAGACGACTGAGGCGTACTCGAGGTGAGGACGTCCCAAGGGTTTGTACAGGTGGAGAAATGATGTTTGATCCAAGGACTTGAACGTGTGTTTGATTGCTCATAACACTCGGTTGGCCTTGGATACCTGGGTTTGGATGTGCCTGGAGAATGAGAGGTTGCGGTCGATAATTACACCCAAGTCTTTCTCTTCTTGTGTGATTTGAAGCTGGTGGGTTGTGCCATCGTTGTTCCTCATTGTGTATGTGCGTTGCGGGTTAGTGTTCCCGAGGTGGATTGTTTTGCATTTATCTGGGTGAAATAACATGCACATTGTTTGGGCCCAAGATTGGAGATGGTCCAAGTCACACTGAAGACTGGAGTGCTGCGTGTCATGTAGCTGTGATATGACTTCAAAGATCTTAGTGTCGTCGGCAAACATCAGGACAAAGTTGTTGAGGAAATCCGGTATATCAGCCACAAATAGTACAAACAGCAAAGGGCCAAGTACTGAGCCTTGAGGTACCCCGCTGTTGACGCTTGCAAAATCAGAGAATTGTCCATTTACCACTACTCGTTGTCTGCGATTGGTAAGAAAGTTACGGATCCATTGAAGTATGTTGTCTTGAATGCCAAAGGTTGAAAGTTGAAGGAGAAGTCTCTCGTGTGGAACCGTATCAAAGGCCTTGGCGTAGTCTAGGAAGAGAATATCGACTGGAAGTTTGTGACTAAGGGCTTCAGTCCAGATGTCGATTGCTTCCAGTAGATTAGTAACTGTTGATCTGCCGGACGTGAAGCCGTGCTGTTGCTTGCATAGAAGGTTGTTAGATTTCAGGTGCTCCCTGATGTCTTCAGCAATCAGTCTTTCCATGAATTTGCACACGTATCGATTGTTTTTTCTTGTTCCATCTATTTTAAAATTGTTTATCTATATTTTTTTACCTAAAACTCAGATTTTAAAGGTGATGTATAGATACAATTATTACTATTATTATTTATTATTATATATTATTATTATTATATACAGTGCATTATGTTTCATACTGAGGAAGAATCAACTGTTAAATGTGTGTTGTAGTTCTTGACTGTGGCCACTAGAGTGTGTATGTTATATGGGATGGTTAGATAGACATATTGTTTTTGTTGTTTTCAGTCTGTTTGTGGTTGTTTTGTGTCTCTGATGTTGAAACTCTGCTAAATATATGAACAAGGACCAGTCTGTTTCACAGAGGTGTCTCTTATTGTGAAAAGCCTCTAATGAGCTTAACAAACTGAACCAGGACCAGTCTGTTTCACAGAGGTGTCTCTTATTGTGAAAAGCCTGTAATGAGTTTAACAAACAACCAGGACCAGTCTGTTTCACAAAGGTGTCTCTTATTGTGAAAAGCCTGTAATGAGCCTCACAAACCGAACCAGGACCACTCAGTTCCATAAAAGTGTCTCTTATTGTGAAAAGCCTGTAATGAGGGAGATGAAGACGAGTCACTACATCATACAAACTGGTCCTTTGAGTAGAATTTTGATTATTGATTTTTAATTTGAATGCAGTATTTGTCATATTTGTTGGTACTTTAGTGAACTAAACGACTGAGCTCTTCTTCCTCCTTTGTAGAGCTGAATCTGAGGATGTGTAGTGACAGACGTCGTCCTGCAGGAGGCAGTAGAGCCTCACTTACATCAGAACATCTGTAACATGAACTCAGACATGATGAGCAGCTTGATATTCTCACACCTGATGAGTGATTTATGAATAAATGATTTATGTCTTTAGAAAACAGTTCAATCTCAATAAACTGTTGAAGTGTGTTTCATAATTCTTTGATAAGATAAAACTTGTTCGGCGGTTATGATACAAATATATTGTGTTTTATTTAGTTTGAGCATAGACGTTGTGTAATCCAGTAAAAACAAAGAGATTCTCACATTATTCATATCAAATATACATCTTTAGTGGACATTCTCTCTTTGTTTCTTTATATTGATTTATGATTTAGAGCTTGTCACATTTAATCTAGTGACAAAAACACACATCATTTACAGGTTTCATCCTGCTGATGTTTCTACACACACACACACACACACACACACACACACACACACACACACACAAACTCTGTGTGTGTGTTAGCTAACAGAACACCTTCAGCTCCCTGAGGTTTCGATGGTGTGTTTTCATGGGAGGTCTGTGTATATCCAGCACTCTGCTAGTTTACAGAGTGAAGGGTAAATTGACACACTAGGTGACAGTGTGTGTGTGTGTGTGCAAGGTGCATGCTTTTTGAAACAGCAATACAATACTTCTCATCTCTTACTTTCTTTAAACGTGTCACTTAACAGTTTGTCTGTTCATGATGGTGTGAAGGTTCCAGTCAGACTCTGGTGTGGATCAGCTGGACCGAAGGGATCCAGTCAGACTCTGGTGTGGATCAGCTGGACCGAAGGGATCCAGTCAGACTCTGGTGTGGATCAGCTGGACCGAAGGGTTCCAGTCAGACTCTGTATCAGTGATGTTTTTAATTATATAAATCATGAGGTAACCACGGTGAAGTGTTTCTCTGATTAATCAGGAGAGCAGCTGTGCGTCGTCCTTTGTCACTTCATCAAACATTCATATCATAAAACAAACATCACAAAGTATCTCTGCAGATTCATAATCTGAGAGGAATTTATTTTTAAACAGTGAACTTTGAGTTTTCAGCTGCAGAATTAACTCTGAAACTCATATTGAAGCAAAAATCAATCACCAATACGTTTCTAAATGATGCAGCTCAGACCTGCTGGATATAAACATGTGACAATAAGAAGATATATGATGAGAAGATATGAAACAAAGTTTTACATCAAACAAAGAACATTAGTGATGATGATAAAATAACAAAAACAATACAAACCTCCTGCAGGTTCTGGACCTCCGGACTCACATACTTCTGGGAGAAAGACCAGGTCTCTGTCTTTGTGCTGTCTTGTGCTCTACCTGCACTTCCCCCATTATTTACTCAGAGA